CATTTTGGCCGCAATAGTCTCATGTATGTGCCAACAGAGTTGTTGCGTTTTTTGTCTCTATGTGCTAACAGTTTTGGCAGCACCAAAGCATGTTTCCATACTGTAGCGTTTCTGCACACAGTTTCTGTTGCCAAGGTCTGCGCAGTCAGAAATTGTTTGCTGGGTAATTAGAACAATTCAATTGAACCGATTTCGTATCTTGTTAAACACACCGATGTTCTCAAAAATAACGATTCTTTGACATGTACTAAACAATTTATTTATACAAAGAATGATAAACCAATGACTCCTAGCATTGACTACAATCATATTGGTATTGACGCCAACTGTTTTAGTAATATGACTTCTTATTCTCTTTTTGACATCAAAGAGAAATGGTTTGTCAATTTAAGTTCATGTAACATTCCTTCTGAAGTTGTCAAACTTTTACAACTGGGAGACAATTTTAGCATGCCTATTTTTAGGAATAAAAATTTATTTGAGGTTATTAAAGACATTGAAAATAATTTCAGATTTTTTGATAAAAAAACGGCAGAATCGTTTACATCACATTTTATTCCTATTTTAACGAATTTTTTATGTGCATCAAGAAGAATGAGCGATATTCAGAAGGAATTATTATCTAGACAGAAGCATGTTTCAACTTTCATTAAGAATTAACCTAATGTTTTATTTACACGTGCTGATAAGGGCAATGTGACCGTCGCGGTTGACAAGTCTAACTATTTCGAAAAGATAAAGGCTATACTTTCTGATTGCTCAACATATTTTTTGGTTAAAAAGAATCCTTCTAAAAATATTAAAGAAAGTCTTAACAAATTACTGAGAAGTTGGGTTCATAAAAAATATATTCTTGACTCAACGTATAAGACTATTAAATCTAGCGATGACTTGTTACCTCGCGCTCACGGGATTCCAAAAATTCATAAAAAAGATAACCTGTTTCGGTTAATTGTTTCATCGATTAATAGCTCTCTACACTGCTTCGCGTCATTCTTACATAAATTAATCCTTAAAAGTATACTTTTTGCAAAGAGTCATGTAGAAAACAATTTCGATCTAGTTAATAAATTTAATGGTTCCAAATTGCGACATGATCACTTGCTTGTATCATTGGATGTTGTTTCTTTGTTCACAAATATTCCTGTAGATCTGGCTATCAAGAGTATAAAAATTAGGTGGAAATATATGCGGAAAAACACCAAGATTCCCTTAAGAGAATTTTTAGAAGCCTTAAACCTTGTCTTGACATCTACTTATTTTACTTTTGACAATGTTATTTATAAACAAACTTTTGGAATGCCTATGGGTTCTCCATTATCTCCGATAATTGCTGATATTGTTATGCAAGACTTAGAGGAATCAGTCATGAGAAAATTAAATTTTAACCCTTCTTTTTATTTTAGATATGTAGATGATATCATTTTGACAGTACCTCCTGACTGTATACAATTATTATTAGACACTTTTAACAATTATAATGACAGACTTCAATTTACAATTGGAGTCCAAAATAAGAACTGTTTGAGCTTCTTAGAAGTTAAAATTTTAAATACTGATGGTGATTTAAAGTTTGATTGGCACCACAAATCTACTTTTTCTGTTAGATATCTGAATTTTTATTCTTCTCATTCGTTATCACAAAAGATTGGCACCATTTTATGCTTAGTAGATAGAGTAATGCTATTATCGGATCCATGCTTTCATGATAGTAATTTTAAATTTATGATAAAAATCCTACTTGAGAATAATTATCTTTTGCAATTTATTTTTAAGACCATTAGGAATAGAATTAAATTTTTTATTGACAGTAAATTAAATTTGAATATAGATAATATTTCCATTTCTTCAACTGTTAATAAAGTGAATGTTAAATATTTTGTTACTCCTTATGTAAATGGTCTTTCTAATTTTTTCTCCAAGTTTTTAAAAAAATCTAAAGATATTTTCTTGGCATTCCGAAGTTTACATAAATTAAATAAATTCATGAAGGTTTCTAAAGATACTTTAACACATGGTCAAAATAACGATATTGTTTATCAGATTAATTGTAATGATTGCAATGTCTCATATGTGGGACAAACAAAGAGACAATTAAAACCCAGAATAAGTGAGCATAAAAACCAGATCAACAGAAATTCTAATACTGTTTCTGTTGTTAGTGAACATCGTTTAGAGACTGGCTATAATTTTGGTTGGGAAGATGTGAGAATCCTAGACATGGAGAAATTTTTTTACAAACGTTCCATTTCAGAAATGCTCTATATTCGGTTACAGGGAAACTCCATCAATGTTATGTCAGATGCGGATAGTCTTAAACCTTATTTTTCGTTCTTAGAACTGTTAAAATCAAAATTGTAATTCTTCTCCTTACATTATTGAAAATAAATATGTTTATGTTGTTGTGTCATTGGGTTAGTGACATTCTTAGACGAATACTACAAGTGGGAATATCTCTATATATATACTGTGTAAAGATTTCTCGTTAGCGCACAGTTTCTGAATTTATTGGACTAATTTCCAGTTTTAGTTTCATACATATAGAAGATGCTGTGAGTTCACGAGTTATCTATTTTGCGTAAGTTTTTGTTACGAGTTTTTATTATTTTTCTGTATTGTAAGGAATTTGCGATTACATATTTAACTATTTGTTTAGATCTTTTTGTTATCACTGAAAAAGGTTCAAACACATGAACCGAAACGTCTGTTTTATCAAATAAGTATCTGTTATTATACATTGTCAACTTATATTTATTGCTCGTATCGATCTTATATCTACTACAGTGCTCCCTCCCTAATTTTTGCAATCCGGGGTAGAGAATGCCACGAAATAAAAATAAGAGAGGTGTCCCACTATTTAGGTAGAGGTGGAGCTTTGTTAAGTATGACCAGTATTGCACGACAGTAGTGGGGAGGGAACTCTACGAATGGCGTGGAAATTACCCAGCAATCGCGTCTCGACCGACCTCCCTTCACAAACAATATGCTCCCTTTACTTTTGTGCAACACTGAATATGACAGATTAACATAACCTCAAATAGGGATAGGGATAGGGAAAAGTGGAAAGTAATGATAAATGACTTCTTTAAAAAAGAGAACAAAATAATTGAGTTATTTAATTGTTGTTCAACTTTTATTTCAGAATATTCATACAAAAATTTAAATATTTTTTATTTTTCTCAACTGTAAATCTAACTTTAAACTCATTTTTTGTGTCTAATTTAATATCACTTTAAATCAATTAAAACTACTTTATATTAATTGAAATCCTATTAATTATGAAATAATTTTTGGTAAATCATAACTGTCTCATACCTTATTTTTAATAATAATATTATAATTAAATTTTTTAATGTTAACACAACTTTTTTAATTTAATTTTTTAACTTTAAAATTCAATCTAAATTCAAAATATGTATATCTGTTTTTTTTTAATATAAAAATACTATTAGTACTATTAATACTATCAAATTATTTTTTTCAATTAACATTAAATTATATTAGCATGGTATAACTAGCAAATTATAAAGAAAAATAAGTCTTTTTACTTTCTATTCTAGTACTGATATATAAATAAAAAATTTAAGTTACATGTAATTGCAATTGATGTAACTCAGCTGTCATTCTTTCGTTGACATGATTTAAAGAAACAATATTTTCTTCTTCATATCTACTATTTTTACAATAATCAATTACTGCATTTAAAGCTTTACAAGCCTCAAAAATAGTGACATTATTATTTAAACCTACTATTGCATTTGGAATGTCTTGTGTCTCATTTTGAGACAGACTAGCATTTTCTTTATCAACTTTTGCCTCGTCAATTTGAACGTCTTTAATCAATTCAACGATCTCCTTATCAGTAAGACACTCATCAGGCAACATTAATGAAGGACATTGCAGCCATGTATTTACATCTGACACTTGCAAATTCGTATATTGGTTCGTCTGTTGAAGTATTTCATGAAATTGATTACATAAAACATTACGTGGATTTTCTTCATTATTTCTTGAAGATTCTGTTGCTGTTGTGTGAATTGCACCAGTATTGACTTGGCTATCTTTGTATGATATTAACTAAAACATTCAAAATTAAAGTAACTTTGTTAAAATCGTTAAAAAGTAAACTTGTGTGATTTTATTATTTTTATATTTTTATATTTTATTTTAGACTTTTTAGTATTTAATTATAAACATTTTTTATTTAATACGTTATAATATCTATTAAGGTTTCTTAAAATACTCTATTTCAATAATACTGTAAAAATGTACAAAAACTAATTTATAAAATGTTAATTAGATAGATAGGCAGATAAATACTTTCAAAAACAATTCAAAATTATAAATAATAAGATTAAATATAAATTAAATATATATATACAGGGTGTCTGACAACGAACTATAAAGCCGCCGTGTGTAGGTAGATCGGGTCATTCTGAACAGAAAAGTTATTTACCATTTTGCAAAATTGGCAATATTTATTGAGATATGAATT